GATGGAATAAGAAAAGTAGTACAAATTGTGACGACTAAAAAAAAGCGAGTTCAACTCCCCCCCGCCCCGCTTGGTTTGTTTCGATGACGCTGGGAGCCTTGCGCTGTCCTGTAGACCCGCCGTGTCTTATCTCTTGCGTGGTTTGTGGTGTTTGCTCTTTTTCCCGTTCTTTGGAAGCCGAAGTCAAAAGGGTAGACTAGGTAGTCAGCGCTGATCAGTCGTGCGTTTTTTTTCGGGTTCCATTGTAGAAAGTCTGCTATGTTTCTCGGTTCTGGAAACTGTCGGGACTCGTTCGTGTGGTGTTGACGTCGTCATGCAGCGCCTGATCATGTGGCCCCCCATATAGACTCCAAGCGGACATTGATCACAGTATTTTTCACGTACAGTGGGGGTCCTCGAATACAGAGGTCGCCCTAAATAAGACGGGTGACAATGACTGACATTAGAGGGAGTAATCAAGTTGAAATACACGTTGAATAAGGCGGCTGCCTCACAAGACGTGCGTCAATTGACTCCGGCTCCCATCGTGAAATGCCATCCGCAATCGTGTTATCGACACCCCTAACATGAGCCGCCGCAAAGCACCACCCGCTGCCCATCTCCGAACATCCGAGCATACGCGCAAGTGCCCCCGACCGGGGCTCGCTTCCCCCCCGACACTTTTTCTATACAGGCGGTTATTATTAGTACCTGCCCCTCCACCACCTTATTCCGGGACCCCCGCTGTACCCAATACGTTGTTGCCTTCCGTCTTGGATATTGTATGTTGTGACTTTGAATGTAGACGTTGTCTCCGACGGTACAAGTAGAGTGATGCAAGACGAAAGGGAACCGGGTTGCGATCCAGCACACGCCCTGCACTAAGCTTGGATGTATGTAGTCGAAATCAGGAGGGGAGCGGGGGTATTGTCAACACTGCAGTAAAACTGGGTTGTTGACGTTGATCCGGTGACAGTTAGTTGCCGTAAGGATGCGAGAGAACGCACGGGGGTTGTCAGCGTTTTTCAGAGCTTGATTGCTCCACAACCAGGAGTGTGTTGACACCAACCGATACCTCTCAGGAAAGCCCTCGCGACGACGTACCTCCAAAACCACCTTTTCGGCAGTGGTACAGCAGTACCCTCCTGGTTGTGGAGAAAACACTCGGTGAAAAACACTTGACACCCTCGTGCATTCTCTTGGCATCCTTGCGGTAGTTGTCGTCCCCTATCAAGGGGTCGGAGAGGGGGGGGGATGAGTTTTCATGCCCACCGGACCCCCTTATGCTATATCCTACCAAGGATTATGGCAGAGGGGCAGGGGGGAGCCGGACATACTCGGTTGCAATCTGTGCGCCCTTTAGAAGCCGAAATCGAAAATGTATCTAATGGATTGATGTCGGCTTCTAAGAAAGTCGGCTGACTAATTAGTTTAATGCTTTGATTTCGGATTCTGAAGCCCTCCTCGTGTATATATGCAGAGGCTAACGTCGGGAAGAGGGGTGTTGTGGTCAACGGTCAATTGATACAATCTAACTTCAACCAACCTCCCTCTCTCTCACTCCGACACTGCAGATTTCACGCCGAACGCGAACAAGTGCGACCGATCTTGACCTCCAAGTTTGGCGCCTCGTTCGCGGACACTTACGTTTCGGACTTCCTCTTCGCGTACGGTGGCGGTCAACGGTAACGGCTCTTCCGGAAAAGAGCCGTTGGGAGAGCACGTTGGTAGGAGACGATTTGGGGGCGGGCACGTTTTTGTAACGCCATCGGCTGGGTCTGAGCCCAACGGGTTGTGTGGCGTGTGTGTGTTTTTGTCCTCCGGTCTATGGATTGTGTTGCGTGAGAGCACCCAGCGTGTTTGTTGGAACCGTCCCCGTCGTAGATTGGTGCTGTTGCTCTTCAACCCTATTGTAGATGTTATTGCGCTGTACACACCGGCTGTTCCCAGCGCTATATTGGTTTGTGATAGCGACTCCCGGCCGCTTTAGGCCGGCTTGTCGTGGCGGCTGATCTCGGGCACCCGCCACTTTTTTAC